CGCGTCAAAAAATATATCGTCATCATCGCCATTAGTATTGTTATACTGGTAGGAACCTCCTGGTTACACCAGCCCACAGGGGATTATTGTGTCCGTCCGTCCGTCGTGCGTCAAAAAATTGGAGGGGTGGGGCTGGGTGGAGAGGGGAGGGTGGGGAGGGTCTGGGTGGGGAGGGTGGGAAGGGGCTGGGTGGAGAGGGGAGGGGTGGGGAGGGGCTGGGTGGGGAGGGTGGGGCTGGTTGGGGGTAAGAGGGGGTGCGGCTGGGTGGGGAGGGGCTGGTCACCCCGTGGTGCCCTTATAAAACTCAACGTTTAACCCACTCACGCCGGCTTGTGCCCGCCCTCACAGTCGGGCATATTTGCGGAATACACCACGCCGCCGTTGACCCTGGCCATTGACCGAGCAACCCAACGTTCCTACCAGCTCCCTCCGCAGGAATGTGTTTTTAATTGTCACAGTGCTGGATTGGCAACGTTATCTAACTGGCGAACGTATTCTCAATACATTGCAACACATTCATCAATAACACTGCGCTCTGAAAAAGAAAGCATAGAACAGGCGACGTTTCGGGCAATGGCCCTTCACAAGCACTAAGTGAGGCCAGTGATGTCGAGTCTATTTGACGAGTGTGTTGACGTGCTTGTTGTTGTTGTTGTTGTTTGTGCGCGCGCACCGCTGCCAACACGGAAGCAGCAACATCACCAAAATTAGTTCTCTAATTAATTGGCTTGGGGAGGCATCTTGCTTCGCCTTCTGGCGCATGCCTAGATTGTGTGTGTATGTGTGAAAAGCTAAACTTGGAATGTCGGGGTGTCGTGAGCTACGTAGCCCAGTACCCGTGATGTTCGTGGTGCAATTCACTGGAGGGACTGTGTGTTGTCGTCTTGGTGTGGTCTGGGACTGTTGTTGTTGTTGCCCTGCCCAAGCTTGCATTTTGTGTTGGAAACTCTCCAGGAATTTATGTGTTTATGCAATCTGTACTTACACGCTTTATTTGTATTTATTTGTGGTGACTTCTTCTTGGTTCTTTCGGTAAAGTCACGTAGAAGGGAAGTGACTTTACCGAAAGAACCAAGAAGATGAATCCCTGCAGTCACGAAAGCTTTAAATCGAAATTGTGGTGACTTGCTCACCTTTGATCTGTTCTGTACGCCTATCGTGTTTCTGTATTGTTCGTTGGTGTAACTTGCTGACCCCGTGCCCCGACTGGACATCTTGACAAAGAGCTTCATAGCTCATCGGATTTCTCCTCTCGCAGTCTCAGTGAAGATTCTGATTCCGAAACATGGAGCGTTGGGCCCAACGGTGCATCTTTAGTGGGTGAAGGCTTCGGCCGGGTGGTTGAGTTGAGATACTCGACGTGGTGCATTGAGCGAGCGATGATGGTGATGATGATGAGAGTAATGATAGTGATGGTGGTGATGGTGATTATGATGATGATGGAGATGATGGTGGTGATGATGGAGGTGATGATGATGAGAGTAATGATGATGGTGGTGGTGGTGGTGGTGATTATGATGATGATTTCGGTGATTGTGGTGATGATGATGGAGGTGATGATGATGAGGGTAATGATATTGATGATGGTGATGATGGTGGTTATGATTATGATGAAGGTGATGGTGGTGATGATGGTGCTGGTGGTGATGATGATAGTGATGATGGAGGTGATGATGATGAGGGTAATGATAATGATGATGATGGTGATTATGATGATGACAGTAATCATGATGGTGATGGAGATGATGGTGGTGATGATGATGGAGGTGATGTTGATGGTGGTGATGATGGCGCTGGTGGTAATGATGATAGTGATGATGGAGGTGATGATGATGAGGGTAATGATAATGATGATGATGGTGATTATGATGATGACAGTAATCATGATGGTGATGGAGATGATGGTGGTGATGATGATGGAGGTGATGTTGATGGTGGTGATGATGGCGCTGGTGGTAATGATGATAGTGATGATGGAGGTGATGATGATGAGGGTAATGATAATGATGGTGATTATGATGATGACAGTAATCATGATGGTGATGGAGATGATGGTGGTGATGATGGAGGTGATGATGATGAGGGTAATGATGATGGCGATGATCAATAAATATGTGGAACGTGTCGGTCACCGCATATGGAAGCCAAGGTTCGGATCAATACCACCCTAAAGTCTGTAGTTTACAGCACTGCACTATGAACCCGGTGACCAAAAGTTCCATTCCTGGCCATGAAAAACATCAAGTGCAGTGATAACGCAAGCCGGTCCAGGCCCACTGCGTCACTGGCACACACTGACCGGCGTGGTGAAGTATGGTCAAACAAACGCCCAAACACTGCAAGGCATAGGGAGGCCTTTGTCCGGCGGTGCCATTCATAAAAGGGCCGTAAATGTTTATTTGTCAAATATAATTGAGACCGCCGTCCGTCTTAACCGTAGCATTGAATGAATGGTGATGGTGCGTCTGGGTCAATGAGCATCATGTCTCGCTCCGTGTTGTGTGTGTGGTCTTTTTTGTATGTAATCGCTGGGAACACTTTTTATGTATTTGCGTGGCCGGTTACTCACTCAGCAACTACAAAAGCTCCCCTTTTTGAGATCCCCCCCTTCTCGGTAAAAAAAATTAAGAGACGAGCAAACAATTAAGTTAACCCATCGTTACTCTCTCTCCGCCCCCGCCCCCTCTCTCTATTTAATGCCTCGACACAGAGGCGTGGTTTCTCTGTGCGCCTATGTATGTGTCTCTCTCTATGTATCTCTGTGATATGTCTGCTTATATGTCTGTCTATATGTCTCTAGTTCTGTGTTTTATCTCTCTCTCAAATTGAGCATTCTCAGGAATAACGTAATCAACCGGGTAGGGTGTTGACTGGTATGTTATCTAGATTTGTGTTTCTATTTCATTTAGACCTGATGATGATTGCTTGTATTGCAATCGAAACGTCGTATGCTAGTATTTAATTTATTATTTTATCTTTATACGTGACTTTACCGAAAGAACCAAAGAGTCAACCCATCGTGTTGGCGAAACGATTCGATATGAAACGCGCTCCCCCAGAACCACGCCGAACATGTATGTTGTATGCATGGCTAGGAGATGGTGTCTACCACGCCTGGCATACAGGAGGCCGTGGGTTCGATCCCAACCCTGACGCCTGCTGCATATTTGAAGTTTGCGTGTCTGTCTTCCCGTGGTCACGTGGATTTTTCTCCGGGTCCTCCGGGTTTTTTCCCCCTGCACATATGAGCACGTGTGGGAGGCAGTGGTGCAGTGGTGAGCTCATTGCGCGACAAACCCGGCCATCCGAGTTCGAATCCCAATGGCGAATGTTTTAACCGGTCCTGGACCTCACCTAGGTCGACTCAGCCTCAAAACGAGTACCTGGTATGGAGCGTAAACATCGCAACTAGGGATACAAAGGTGGCCGGGCGTGGTGCTGGCCACCCACTGCCTCGCGTGGCCGTTCCAGACTTCACAGGTGCCGCTCGCTAACAGCACTTGCCCCAACAGTCGGTGAAGGCTACACGGGGGGGTATCTTTGTCTTTGGTGCTGGCCACCTACCCCCGCGTGTGGACCTGCCGCCTTCATAGATGCTGCTCGCTAACAGCACTTGCCCCAACAGTCGGTGAAGGCTACACGGGGGGGGGGGTATCTTTGTCTTTGGTGCTGGCCACCTACCCCCGCGTGTGGACCTGCGGGCCTTCATAGATGCTGCTCGCTAACAGCACTTGCCTTGCCCCCAACAGTGTGTTGAAGGAGGCTACACGGGGCACCTTTGTCGTTGCGCTCCACCTTCCTCACCCTGGGTTTCCTTCAGTCTCAGAGGCCACGCGTCCCTTGCACAAAGTGTGCCCTCTCTCTCCCCCTCTCTCTCCCCCTCTCTCTCTTTTTTTTATTTTTACGATCAGAGGAAACAAGAAGATGCTCGGTGTAGTCGGCACTTTGCTTCGTTCATCATTTAGTTTTTTTTGTTATTTTTTTTATTGCTTTGCTTTATTTGCTCCCCCCCCCCCCCTTTTTAAATGAAAGATTTCACGAAAGATGTCACGCTCTGCTATTCTTACCCCTTCCCCCTCTCTCTCTATCTCCTCTCTCTCCCCCCCTTCTCTCTCTCTACCCCCTCTCTCTACCCCCTCTCTCTACCCCCCTTCTCTCTCTCTACCCCCTCTCTCCCTACTCCATGTCTATGTTCCCCCTATGTGTTCTATGTAATATTTGTAATTTTATTTTTAAAAAAATTCTCCCCCTCTCACTCTCCCCCCTCTCTCTCTCTCCCTCGGCCTCCGAGCCGCGTCGCTCCACTCGTGAAACACACGCCAAGTAAATGAGTTTTCATTCACATTTCCGTCCACGGATCAGAGCCCCCCCCCATCGCCACCCCACCCTCCCAATCCCCCAGAGCCCCCCCCCCGCTCTTACCCCCTCGCATCTCCACACCGCTGCCCTCCCCCCCTCCCCCCGAGATTGAACGTTGAGATGTGGATGGAGCAGGGGGGGTCGGCAAGCAGAAATAACAAAACGAGCCATTTTGTTGTTGTTGTCGAATTTGGCATGAAACGCAGTGCAATGTGAATACACACGTGGGGAGCGGTGGTGCAGCGGTTAGCGCACCGCGCTTCGAACCCGACTCACCCGAGTTCGATTCCCGCTCACGGCCAACACCGGTGACGAATATCTGAATCGGTCTTGGGGCCTCCCCCTAGGTCGGCTCGGCCTCAAATGAGTACCCGGTGCGGTGTGTAAGCATTGCCACTGGGGAGACAAAGGCGGTCGGGCATGGTGCTGGCCCACCCACCCCCTCGTGTGCCGTTCCGGCCTTCATAGGTGCTGCTCGCTAACAGCACTTGCCCCAATAGTCTGTTAAGGCTACCCGGGGGGTGGGGGGGGGGGCGATCTTTGCCTTTGTACATTAAGTCACGAGGTCAGTGCGACGAAAGAGCCGCGGGGGTTGCCGACCTTCCCCCCCCCCCCCACTCCCCCCCCCGAGACGGAGCGCGATGGTGCTGCTGATGGTGAAAATGGAATGCAACGAGAGGAGGTCAATGGTCGGTTCATTTCCATCACCGCCACGCGATCATTTTCGCACCCCCCCCACCACTTCCACCCCCCCCGCGCGCCCCCCACCTTTTTGTTTCGCTCGCTCTAAAAGGTTCACGCGTAATGTGTTTATTACTCGTCGTATTTTGGTTATGGATGGGGAGGTCGCGCTACGGTGAATTTACACGGAGTACAAAATGAAACCGACACGGAGCAGGTTGAGAAAGAAAAACGCACAACAGGATCGGAATATTTTTACTGGAGGAATCCGATGAGCAATGAAGCTCTTTGGTGTTTCACATGTCCCTCTCGCCCACTTCAGCAATTGTTTCTGGCTGTGGTTGTCCCACCTGATGACGGACGCTTGTGTTGCACCCGAAACGTCGTGATTTAATTTCTTTTATTTATACCCACGTGACTTTACCGAAAGAACCAAAGAGTATGGATTCTTGCAGTCACGAAAGCTTCAAATCAAGAAACAAACAACATCATCATCATCTTGTGCATGGCCATCACCGAGACCTCACCTACATAATCCGCTTCTCAGGTGTGCGCAACGCCTCCTGTCCTCTCTCTACCGTTTGCCCGGAGCGCCGATGTCGCCACGGTCGCGCGTCGTTTAATGGCACCGCGCTGATGGCACTCGCAATCAGAGGCCGCCGGCTTCCATTCAATCTCTCGGCGCGGCATTTACAACAACGGGTCGAGTTCATGAACCGACCCCCTCCCCCACAGCCCCCCCCCCACCCACCCCCCGTACCACCCCAAACAGAGGCTGTCCCCAAGGTGCGACGAATCAGGGCGACTGCCCCGGGCCCCGCGTGTTGGGGGACCCCGCGCTCCTGCGTCGCGGTGGCAGATGTAATACTTCCGTTTCGGTTTGAAGGCATCGCGGGGGGCGGGGGTAATGGGGGGGGGGGGGGGGGGCTACAGAGTGGAGGTGGGCGGGCGAGGGGCCCCGCCCCCCCACCTTGGACATCTCTACCCTTGCCTCTGAGTCTCCGGTCGCGTGCGCTGGGGCAAAGTGTGGCTGACTGCCATCTATTCCACGACGTCTCGTGAGCGTGGAAGCGTAGACCGAGAAGTCGAGAGTTGACAGCTCTCCAGCGCCCCCCCTCCCCTCCCCTCCCCTCCCCCCCTCTAGAACATTTGAAGAGGGACGTCTCCGAATGTTGTTTTAGTTTTCCAGAGCGGCCAACCCAACCACCCGAGTTCAATTCCCGACCATGGCTAACAACACAAGCGGCGAGTGATAACCCGAACCTGTCCTGGGTCCGCCAGTACTCGTGCGCTGTGCGGGCACTCGTAGGTGCTGGTGCCTGCCTGTGTGTGTGTGTGTGTCTGCTAACAGCACTTGCCCCAACAGTCTGTTAAGGCTATACGGGGGATCTTTGTCTTGCCAGTTTGTGTGTGTGGAGTTGGCCACCAACCCCCTCGCGTGCCGTGCCGACCTTCATAGGCGCTACTCGCTAACAGCACTTGCCCCAACAGTCTGTTAAGGCTATACGGGGGATCTTTATCTTTGTGCGTGTGTGGTGTGTGCATGTGTGCGTGTGTGCTTCAGCCGGGAAGAGGCGGTGGCGATCGACAAGGAGCTGAGAGAAGACTACGGCTTCACGCCAGAGCAGCTCGTCGAGATGATGGGCATGGCGGTGGCGCACGCCATCACCAGGGTACGCACAAAGACAAAGCTGCCCCGTGTAGCCTTTGCCACGCCGATGGGGCAAGTGCTGTCGGCGAATACCTACAGTTTTCCACTCCAATGCCCCTACCATCGGAATGCAGCATTTCCCTAGCCCCTGATATAGATGTTAACTACCTCGCTTGGTACACAGGAGATCTGCGAAATATTTGGAATTTGCATGGAAATGTTTTTTCTCCGTTTTCCCTCCACATTCAGAATCAACACGCGGTTAGAGTACTTGGCTGAAAAAGAAGCCATACAGCTCAGTGGGTTATACCTGCCAAAATAAAAACAACAAACATATCGCAGTGGTAGAGTAAGATGGACCGGTGCAGTTCCACGCACGTTTGGACAGTGAGACGCTTTTCAAGTTAATTGGAGCCTCTGTCTGGAGCTGTCTCTCTCTCTCTCTGTGTCCGGAGCATCTCTCTCTCTGTCTCTGTCATGGCAAGATGCCTTTTAGTGAAGCCTAATTGGCTGTGCACGCTTTTGTACGGAATTGCGCATCCGTGCGGTATAAAGCACAAAAAATACGTCGACCACCTGAGTGCTTTGTCCACCCCCACAGAAATATGAAATCAGTTCGGGGAGAGCTGAGGGGGCTAGCATCGCCATGGGGGAGGGTCATCCGGCAGTGGACTGATCAAAAATTGGATCGTACATTGGTGACTCGGCTGAGACCCAACCACAGGAACCGATCCAGGTATTGTGAATACTGTTTGGTTCTTTCGGTAAAGTCACGTGGGTAGAAAATAAAATAAATCACGACGTTTCGGGCGCAACACAAGCGTCTGTCATCAGGTGAGAAAGCGTGGTCTGCTGCTGAGGCAGACTGTTATTAAAAGGTTTGAAATGGATGTAGCCCAAGGGTCATAAATAAGTGGCCTGGGCTGGTGATGTTAATGTAGGTTTGATGACCGCAAGAGAGAGAGAGAGACAGGGAGGAGGAGGTTCCGTGGGGCATCGCAGTGGCTAAGAAATGTTAACTACTTCGCCAGGTATACAGGAAGTTGTGGGTTCGATCCCGACCCTGACGCCTGCTGTATATTTGAAGTTTGCGTCTCTTTCTCTCATCATCATCATCACAGATGCTAGGAGATGTGAACTACCTCGCCTGGTATACAGGAGGTTGTGGATTCGATCCCGACCCTGACGCCTGCTGTATATTTGGAATTTGCATCAATCTCTCTCCATCATCACAGATGCTAGGAGATGTGAACTACCTCGCCTGGTATACAGGAGGTTGTCGGTTCGATCCCGACCCTGACGCCTGCTGCTGTATATTTTAAGTTTGCGTGTTTTCTCCCTCTCTCTGTCTCTCTCCCCCTGGTCGCGTTGAATTTTCTCCTGAAATAACGAATTGAGGTCCTCGGTAACCTCCTGCAGGCTACTCCCGTGCCACCACACTCCACACTACTTGACTGCAACTCGATGATCCGGGTTGAGTGGCATGTGGAGTTCTGTACCAGACGTCCCCAACACATCTGGTTTTCCGTCTGCAGGCAGCGCCAGTATTGCCCCGTGCTGTCGTTCTCAGACGTGTAAATGATGCCCGCAGCGGCATTGCAAAGTAATAGCCGTGCCGCAGTGACGAGAGTTTATCTCGTCAGCCAGACCTCGGGCCAGATTACAGTAACGTGCGTCCCTTTATTAATCCACTGCTGGATGAATGCCTACCCCCCACCCACCCACCCATCCGTCACGCTGTGTCGTTCATGGGGGTTATTTGACGATTCATCACCGCTCCGGTCAATGCCGGGGTTGCCAAAGTGATGAGCGGATAACCCAGTGCCGGTTTAGATATCGCGCATCGGCCAACGAGCGACGTCTGAACCGATCCCGGACACCCCCATGGGATTTTAAACGATCCGCTCCAAATCAGCGCGGCGTTCCCCTCGCCGGCGTGGGGTCGTGGGGGCGCCCCCCCCTCCGCCACCCCCCGCCCCCCGCCCCCTTTCGTGTGTTCCGCGGGGCTCAGAATAGCCACGGTGGTCCTCTCTGTAGTTCAAAGTCTCTCGTCACGGAGCCACCTTTGTGGTGGTGGTGGTGGTTGTGGCCAGAGGCCGTCCCGAGGGTACACGGCGAATCGGGGCGACTGCCCCGGGCCCCGTGTGGGGGGGGGGACGCGCTTCGATGTGACGGTGTCAGATGGAGTTTTACTTCTGGTTTAGTTTGAAGGCGGCGAAGAGGGCCCACAGTGTGAGTCGCCCACGCGCCCCTGACTAGGGACGGCCCCGATGGCGTTATCGTTTCTCGCGCTGTTGACAAAAAAAATCGACGGGACTTGACGTGCCTTTGCAATGCGTACTCATACACCTCATACACCGCATGTATTTATATTTAGTCGCTCGCTTACCTTTCCTCGACTCTTCACTGCTGTGGTGTTTTTTTTTTGTATTGTACTGAACATCCGTGGAAAAAAGAGATTCATGGCTCATCGGATTCCTCCAGCGTGAATAGATATTCTGACAAAGCCTGCCTGCATGGGCAACCAGCATGCATAGCAGGTGGCTACAGGCTGCAGCGCGAGCAGAGTGCGGTGGTGACAGCGACGAAGTATAGTTTGAGGATAGGTTTTACCCTTTCTGGCCATAATACAAGGGAATCATGTCTGCGTTGACCACACGAACTTGTGGCGTACATGCAAATAAAAAACATGCTCTGGTAGTATTTCATGCATTGTATTTGAAACTGATTGGTCCACACCAGAGACAGCTTCTATTGAGACCAGACGACGCCAAAAGGCGAACAGCAAGCGAGGTCCCATGATCAAGTATAGTTTTATCTCTGTTTTATCTCTCTCTCAAATTTAGCATTCTCAGGAAGAACGTAATCAACCAGGTAGGGTGTTGACTGCTATGTTATCTAGATTTGTGTTTCTATTTCATTTATACCTGATGATGATTGCTTGTGTTGCAATCGAAACGTCGTATGCGAGCATTTAATTTATTATTTTCTCTTGATACGTGACTTTACCGAAAGAACCAAAGTCGGGAGAGAAATTGACAGTTTCTGTTGTTGTTTGTTTGTTGTAACATTCTGACCACGCCCCGACTGGACATCCGCGGACAAAACGAGCTTCATAGCTCATCGGATTCCTCACCCCCCCCCGCCCTCCCTCCCCACCACCACCAGCGTTCGAGTCCTCGTTAACACGGCAGTGGGAAGTTGCGGAGGTCTTCATTTTGGACCGGGAGGGCCCTTGCACAAACCGCTGCGCTCACTACCGTCTCTGCGAGGGGCAGCCTGCCACACAGCCTCAGCTCGTCCTCTTCGTTTTTTTTTCTCGTTTCCCCGCTAATGGCAGCGGCCTCTTGGGGAGGCTTCAGGAGGAGATGACCGCCCGCACCTTTCGCGAAAACCGCGAGAAACTCGCCCGGGCTTGGCGGCTCACGAATTAAGGTCGAGGGACGGAGGGAAAGGGGGAGTTTGACGCTCGCACTCGAATGCAGCGTTGTAAATTGACACTTTTTTTTTGACCCCGAAAATAAATGTCACTAATTGATTTGTGTTTTGGAGGGAAGGAGGGGCGGATATTCAGGGGGGGGGGACGCTCATACCCCCCCCCAACCCCATCCATTACCCTGAGCCCCCACCACCACCACCACCCCGCATAACAAAGACAAAGATCCCCATATAGCCTTAACCGACTTTTGAGGCAAGTGCTGTTAGCGAGCACCTATGAAGGTGGGAACCGCACACGAGGCGGTGGGTGGCCAGCACCACGCCGGGCCGCTTTTGTCTCCCTAGTGGCGATGTTTACACACAACACCGGGTACTCGCTTAAGGCTGAGTCGATCTAGGGGGAGGCCCACGACCGCTTCAAATATTATCGCCACCGTTTATCGTTCGTGAGTGGGAATCGTAGTGGTTTTTTTTTGCCGGGTCCGTAGCGCAGTGCGCTAACCGCTGTGCCACCGCTCCCCACGAGCACCGGCAAACAAAAGATAAAGACCCCCCGTTTAGCCTTGTACACCCCAGGGGCAAGGTGCCGTGAGCACACACACACACACACCGCTTCCACCTGTGCACAAATAACCTTTTGAAGAAGAATGAGATCAATAAGGGGGCCCATTTGTTTGTATGCCACACAAAAAAATTATTACGTTGAATTATTAAAACTATAAACAATGTTTTTTTTTTATTTTTGCCACGTAAGGGCCCCACTGAGCTACACTGCTGGTTTGTCAGAGGCGACCCGGTTATCACAAATGACAGCTCGACAAAGTGCCCAATCGTCGCGGTGGAAATTTATGGCATCTAAACACTCGAAACGCGCGATGTCGATTCTAAACTTGGAAGGGAAACAAATCCCGGAGGATCTGGAGAAAAATTCCCCGCGACCACGGGGAGAGAGACACGCAAACTCCAAATATGCAGCAGCAGGCGTCAAGGGTCGGGATCGAACCCACGACCTCCTGTACACCAGGCGAGGTAGTTAACATCTCCTAGCCACCGTGATGATGATGAGAGAGAGAGACACGCAAACTCCAAATATACAGCAGCAGGCGTCAAGGGTCGGGATCGAACCCACGACCTCCTGTACACCAGGCGAGGTAGTTAACATCTCCGAGCCACCGTGATGATGATGAGAGAGAGGGAGAGAGATACGCAAATTCCAAATATACAGCAACAACAGGCGTCAGGGTCGGGATCGAACCCACGACCTCCTGTATACCACGCGAGGTAGTTAACATCTCCGAGCCACCGTGATGATGATGAGAGAGAGAGACACACAAACTCCAAATATACAGCAGGCGTCAAGGGTCGGGATCGAACTCACGACCTCCTGTACACCAGGCGAGGTAGTTAACATCTCCTAGCCACCGTGATGATGATGAGAGAGAGAGAGACACGCAAACTCCAAATATACAGCAGCAGGCGTCAAGGGTCGGGATCGAACCCACGACCTCCTGTATACCAGGCGAGGTAGTTAACATCTCCTAGCTACCGTGATGATGATGAGACACGCAAACTCCAAATATACAGCAGGCGTCAAGGGTCGGGATCGAACCCACGACCTCCTGTACACCAGGCGAGGTAGTTAACATCTCCGAGCCACCGTGATGATGAGAGAGACACGCAAACTCCAAATATACAGCAGCAGGCGTCAAGGGTCGGGATCGAACCCACGACCTCCTGTACACCAGGCGAGGTAGTTAACATCTCCGAGCCACCGCGATGATGATGATGAGAGAGAGAGAGACGCAAACTCCAAATATACAGCAGCAGGCGTCAGTGTTGGGATCGAACCCACGACCTCCTGTATACCAGGCGAGGTAGTTAACATCTCCTAGCCACCGCGATGATGATGATGAGAGAGAGACGCAAACTCCAAATATACAGCGGGTGGCATCGTCCATGTGAGTCTCGTTCATCGCCACTCGAGGAGTGTGGCCACGGCGCGGATGTATAATAGAGACGACGCGGAGGGTTGATTGTTTTTTTAAAATAATTTTCACTGTCATTGTCGCCTTTCGATTTAAAGCTTTCGTGACTGCAGGGATTCATCTTCTTGGTTCTTTCGGTAAAGTCACGTAGAATGGAAATAAAATAATATTATTGAAAATAATATTATTATTTATTATGGAAATAATAAAATAATAATATTATTTCCATTCGACGTGACTTTACCGAAATAACCAAGAAGATGAATCCCTGCAGTCACGAAAGCTTAAAAAAATATCTAAGATTTTTTAAACGTTCATTTACATCTGTTCGACCGGTGCGGAACGAACATTACTCAACGTGGCAGTTGGCACAGCCCCCAACAGGCTGTTACAGGCTACACGGGGGATCTTTGTCTTTGTCACTGTGCCCCCCCCCCCCCCGCCCCCCCCCCCCACAGGCTTTCCCTTTGGCCTCGTTGCCCCGCAAGCAACCCACGGGCCTGGTGATCTGCGGGCCGGGCTACAACGGAGCGTGCGGCCTGGCCTCGGCACGCCACCTCAAGATGTTTGTGAGTGCCGCGTGAGAGAGCGGCCTTGGACGAGAGCTCCGTGTGCTCAAGGAGAGCCGGCGTGCTGCGGCTCACGACGACGACGACGATGATGACGACGACGATGATGATGATGATAATGATTTTTTTCGATTTAAAGCTTTCGTGACTGCAGGGATTCATCTTCTTGGTTAATAAAATAATAAAAATAAAACATAATAAAATAATATAAAATAATTTAATATTATTTTATTACTTCCCTTCTACGTGACTTTACCGAAAGAACCAAGAAGATGATGATGACGATACAACCGGCACCTGCTGATGATGACGATAAACACCATCGTGATGCAGCTTCTACAGCGATCCTCAAGCTGCTGCTACTGCTGCTGTTACTGATTTCGCTCATGATATTGGTGCTGCTGCTGATGATAATAGGATGGGATGGGATGAAAAGAATCGGAAAGAGAGGAGGAGCTAACAGAGAATGGCTTGATGATGATGACGACGACGATGACGACATATGAGATTGGTGCCAGAGACACGTGGCGCACTACGTCAGCATACTGTCACGTGACGGAGGAAAGTGGAAACACGTGGCGACATGTGATGATGATGGTGATCATGATGACGGTGATGATGATGGTGATGATGACGGTGATGATGATGGTGATGATGGTGATGATGGTGATGATGATGATGGTGATGATGATGATGACGGTGATGATGATGATGACGGTGATGATGATGGTGATGATGATGATGGCGATGATGATGATGGTGATGATGATGATGACGGTGATGATGATGACGGTGATGATGATGACGGTGATGATGATAACGGTGGTGATGATGATGATGATGACGGTGATGATGATGATGACGGTGATGATGATGATGGTGATGATGATAACGGTGGTGATGATGATGATGATGACGGTGATGATGATGATGACGATGATGATGATGATGATGGTGATGATGACGATGATTATGATGATGACGGTGATAATGATTATGATGGCGGTGATGATGATGATGATGGTGATGATGATGATGATGGCGGTAATGATGATGGTGATGATGATGACGGCGATGATGATGACGGTGATGATGGTGATGATGATGATAACGGCGATGATGATGACGGTGATGATGATAGTGATGATGATGACGGTGATGATGATGACGGTAATGACGATGATGATGATGACGATGATGATGGCGGTGATGATGACGGCGATGATGATGACGGTGATGATGATAGTGATGATGATGACGGCGATGATGATGACGGTAATGACGATGATGATGATGACGGTGATGATGATGACAGTGATGATAATGATGTTGACGATGTTGGCGGTGCCTTGCGTGCAGGGGTACGAGCCGACCGTCTTCTACGTGAAGCGGTCCGTGAAGCCGCTGAGCCAGGCGCTCACCACGCAGTGCGAGAAGCTCGACATCCCCTTCCTCTCGTACCTCCCCACCGAGGTGACGATCCGTGTTGAGTTGCGCGCCCCTGCGATAACTAGGAGATGTTAACTACCTCGCCTGCTATACATGAAGTCGTGGATTCGATCTCGACCCTGATCCCTGCTGTATATTTGGAGTTCGCGTGTCTCTTTCTCATCATCATTATCATCACGGTGGCGAGATGTTAACTACCTCGCCTGGTATACATGAAGTCGCGGATTCGATCCCGACGCTGGCGATGCCTGTATATTTAGAGTTCGCGTGTCTCTTTCTCATCATCATCGTCATCATCACAGTGGCGAGATGTTAACTACCTCGCCTGGTATACATGAAGTCGCGGATTTGATCTCGACCCTGACGCCTGCTGTATATTTGGAGTTCGCGTGTCTCTTTCTCATCATCATCGTCATCACGGTGGCTAGGAGATGTTAACTACCTCGCCTGGTATACATGAAGTCGCGGATTTGATCTCGACCCTGACGCCTGCTGTATATTTGGAGTTCGCGTGTCTCTTTCTCATCATCATCGTCATCACGGTGGCTAGGAGATGTTAACTACCTCGCCTGGTATACATGAAGTTGCAGATTTGATCTCGACCCTGACGCCTGCTGTATATTTGGAGTTCGCGTGTCTCTTTCTCATCATCATCATCGTTATCATCACGATGGCGAGATGTTAACTACCTCGTCTGGTATACAGGAGGTCGTGGATTTGATCCAGACCCTGATGCCTGCTGTATATTTGGAGTTCGCGTGTCTCTCTCTCTCTCTCATCATCATCACGATAGCTAGGAGATGTTAACTACCTCGCCTGGTATACATGAAGTCGCGGATTTGATCTCGACCCTGATGCCTGCTGTATATTTGGAGTTCGCGTGTCTCTCTCTCTCTCATCATCATCACGATGGCGAGATGTTAACTACCTCGCCTGGTATACATGAAGTCGTGGATTCGATCTCGACCCTGATGCTTGCTGTATATTTGGAGTTCGCGTGTCTCTTTCTCATCATCATCGTCATCACGGTGGCTAGGAGATGTTAACTACCTCGCCTGGTATACATGAAGTTGCAGATTTGATCTCGACCCTGACGCCTGCTGTATATTTGGAGTTCGCGTGTCTCTTTCTCATCATCATCATCATCGTTATCATCACGATGGCGAGATGTTAACTACCTCGCCTGGTATACATGAAGTCGCGGATTCGATTCCGACCCTGATGCCTGCTGTATATTTGGAGTTCGCGTGTCTCTTTCTCATCATCATCATCATCATCGTTATCATCACGATGGCGAGATGTTAACTACCTCGCCTGGTATACATGAAGTTGCAGATTTGATCTCGACCCTGACGCCTGCTGTATATTTGGAGTTCGCGTGTCTCTTTCTCATCATCATCATCGTTATCATCACGATGGCGAGATGTTAACTACCTCGTCTGGTATACAGGAGGTCGTGGATTTGATCCAGACCCTGATGCCTGCTGTATATTTGGAGTTTGCGTGTCTCTCTCTCATCATCATCATCACGGTAGCTAGGAGATGTTAACTACCTCGCCTGGTATACATGAGGTCGTGGATTCGATCCCGACCCTGATGCCTGCTGTATATTTGGAGTTCGCGTGTCTCTCTCTCTCTCTCATCATCATCACAGTGGCGAGATGTTAACTACCTTGCCTGATATACATGAAGTCGTGGATTCGATCCCGACCCCGACGCCCGCTGTATATTTGGAGTTCGCGTGTCTCTTTCTCATCATCATCATCGTCATCATCACGGTGGCGAGATGTTAACTACCTCTCATGGTATACAGGAGGTCGTGGATTTGATCCCGACCCTGGCGATGCCTGCTGTATATTTGTAGTTTGCGTGTCTCTCTCTCCGTGGTCGCGTGGATTTTTCTCCGGGTCCTCCAGGTTTTCCCTCCACGTTGAGAATCGACATCGCGCGTTTAGAGCGTTTGACTGCTGTACATTTCCACGTGATGGTGATGAGCCACTTCGTTGAGCTATCGTTTGTGGCCACGGTGGTTTCTGAAAAAGAAAGCTACTCAGCTCAGTGGGCTTTGCCTGGCAAAAAACAACAACAACACATTATTATTTTATTTCTATTCGAATTTTTATTAGTTTTATTATTATTTTTTATTTTTACCTACGTGATTTTGCCGAAAAAAACCTAAGAGTATGAATCCTTGCAGTCACGAAAGCTTCAAATCTATAAAACAACAACACAGTTTAGATCTCAGTCTGAGTGAGTAGCGACACTCGCCGCTGTCCCCACCCGCTCCTTCCATTAGCACGATCGGCTACGTACGGCGCACAAGAAGTTCAACACACACACAGCCGTGCACTTCTCCTCGTCGTCTCCTCGTCACAGCCCTCCTCCTCACCCTCCTCACCCGTGCAGGTGCAGCTGATCAACGACGCCTACTGCTTCGTGGTGGACGCGGTGTTCGGCACGGGGCTGCGTGGCGAGGTGCGTGAGCCCTTCCTGAGCATCATGAACACGCTGCGCCAAGTGAAGGCGCCCGTCGCGAGCGTGGACGTGCCCTCTGGTGAGCCCCTCCCCCCCATCACCCCCCCACCCCAACCCCCCACCTCATCACCCCCCCCCCATCTCCCCCACCACCCCACACACCGCATCCTCATTGGCCACAATCGGAGTGCGTCCGTTGGACTTTGTTCGCGGGGGAAGGACAAGGAACTCGACACACGCGGAAAGCATTGGGGGGGGGGGGTGCTAGGGGGGGGGGGTGCTGGGGGTGGGGGTGCTGGGGGTGGGAGGGGGGTTCTGGAGGGGAGGAGGGGCTGAGGTGGGGGGGGATGGAGGAGGTGGGTGGGACGTGGAGGTGGGGGTGGATGGAAGGTTGGGGATCAGGGGGGGGGGGATGTGGGGAGGAGGGGGGGATGGAGGTGCGGCTGGGGAGAGGGGTGGAGGGAGTGGGGGGGTGGAAGAGAGGGTGGAAGTGGGGGAGGATGGAAGGTTGGGGGAGGAGGGGGGAGGTGGGGGAGGTGGGGGTGTAGGGGAGAGGGTAGAGGTGAGGGTGGAAGGAGGGGGTGGAGGTGGGGTAGGAGGGGGGTGCTGGAGGGGAGGTGAGGCTGAGGTGGGTGGGGGATGGAGGAGGCGGTGGGAGGTGGATGGGAGATGGGGGGTGGGTGGAGGAGAGGGTGGAAGTGGGAGAGGTGGCGTGGAAATGGAGGAAGGAGTGGGAGGTGAGGTTGGGTGGGTGGGTGAGGGGGGGGCGTAGCGAGAGGATGGGAAGTGAGCGAGGTGACGAAAGGGGAAGGACACAAATAAACAAACAAACAAATACACAAACAAACAAATACACAAATAAACAAATACACAAACAAACAAAAACACAAATAAACAAATAAAAAAAACAAATACACAAACAAACAAATACACAAACAAACAAATACACAAACAAACAAACAAATACACAAACAAACAAATACACAAACAAACAAATACACAAACAAACAAATACACAAACAAACAACTACACAAACAAACAAATACACAAACAAACAAACAAATACACAAACAAACAAATACACCAACAAAAAATACACAAACAAACAAATAAACAAACAAACAAATAAACAAACAAACAAATACACAAATCGTGCCTTCCCCCACCCCGTGGCTCCCGACCCAGGCTGGGACCCGGACTTGTGCGGGAACGGCTCAGCGTGCCCAGGGGCGACTGGCACCGCTGGGCCCGCTGGGGCACTGCAGCAGCAGCAGCTGCAGCAGCTACAGCTGCAGCCCGATGTTCTCGTTTCGCTGGGGGCTCCCAAGCGGTGCGCTGAGCGCTTCGCGGGGCGCCTGCACTTCCTGGGAGGGCGCTTCCTCCCGCTGGACATTCACAAGAAGATGGAGCTGAACCTGCCCGAGTACCCTGGCACGGACTGCATCGTGCCACTGCTCTAGCCCCGGACATCGACGGCAGCAGCAGCAGCAACAATAGCGGTGGTGGAGTTATCCCTGGTGCCTGCCTGCCTGCTTGCGTGTGTGTGTGTGTGTGCTAACGGCACTTGCCCCAATAGTCTGTTAAGGCTATACGGGGGATCTTTGTCTTCGTCTTTGTCTCGACGAGTGTCAGTCTGAAGGCCGCCCCAGGTGCGGTGATGTTTGCTGGGATCTTTGTCTTTTGCGTGTGTGTGGGTATGTGTGTGATGTTGGCCACCCACCCCCTCGTGTGCCGTGCCGGCCTTCATAGGTGCTCGTGAACAGCACTTGCCCCAGCCGTCTGTTAAAGGCTACACGGGGGATCTTTGTCTTTGGGGGAGCGGTGGTGCAGCGATTAGCGCGCTGCGCTACGAAACTTGACGAACCGAGTTCAATTCACGCTCTTGGCCACCAACACCGGTGACGATTATCTGAAACGGTCCCGGGCCTCTCCTAGGTTGATTCGGACTAAAATGAGTACCTGGTGTTGTGTAGAAACATCGCTGCTGGAGAGACAAAGGCGGCCGGGCGTGGTGCCGGCCACCCAGCCCCTCGCCAACAGCAAGGGGCTGGGTGGCCAGCGACCGTCGCTTGCGTTGCGATCGAAACGTCGTCGTTTTTTGTTGTTTTATTTTATTATTCCTTGAAACCTATCTACGTGACTTTACCGAAAGGCCCAAATAATATGAATTCCTGCAGTCACGAAAGCTCCAAGTCAATAATGTGTGTATGTACATAAAAAAATAAAAATCCATACATTTCCAATCCACCAATGGACCAAAGCCCCACGCCCCCCCTCCGCCACCAACTCTTATTCCGTAGGATTATCGAACTTTAATTTACTGGGCTGGTCAGTTCATGTTGACTGAATGGGGGGGGGGGGCAAGGGGCAAGACTAATTCTGAAATCTCTCACCGCCAATGTTAGCCGTGGGCCGAGAGAGTTAACAAAAACACGCAAACTCCCGGTTCACCGGGGCTCATCGCGCAGAGCGCCGCTCCGTCACTGCGTGCGAGTTAGCGAGCGCCTATTAACACCGGCAGGGTGAACAAAACATGGGGGGTGGTTTCGGCCAGCCCCATGCCCGGCCACCTTTGTATTCCCTGTGCTGATGTTTGCACACTGCGTCAGTTGCTCATTTAAGGCTAAGTCGACCTAGGTGGAGGCTCAGGACTGGTACAGATAATTGCCACTGATGTTGGGTGCTCGCTAAGAGCACTTGACCCACAGGCTGATAGAGGGCACACGGGGGAACTTTGTCTTTCTTGATGTGTGTGGGAAGTGGTGGTCCAGTGGTTAGCGCACTGTGCTTCGGACCCAACGACTTTGGTTCAATTACTCACCGAGGGTTGATTTCAGTGGCGAGTGATACCCGTGGCCCTATTGGACATCTCCTAGGTCAACTGGGACGTAAATGAGCACTTGGTGTGGTGCGTAAAGTATCTGCACTGGGGAGACAAAGGCGGCCAGGCTTGGTGCAGGCCACACTACCCGTTTGTGTGCCCATCCAGACTTAATAGGTGCTCGCGAACAGACCTTGCCTCAACTGTTATGTTTAGGCTTTCAAGGGGGGTCTTTGTTAATGCATTTGCGATACTAGGCTAGGTATGAATCTGGAATCATATTTGTAGCATTGTTTTGTTGGTCTCTACATAAAAGAGTCTCAAGAGAATTAACTTAACAAAATGGTGTCTGATGGGGTCTCTAGACAATAGACTGACTGTCTATTGTCTCTAGACAATAGACTGACCGTCTATAGACAATAGACTGGCTGGTCTCTGATGGGGTCTCTAGACAATAGACTGACTGTCTATTGTCTCTAGACAATAGACTGACTGTCTATAAACAATAGACTGGCTGGTCTCTGATGGGGTCTCTAGACAATAGACTGACTGTCTATTGTCTCTAGACAATAGACTGACCGTCTATAAACAATAGACTGGCTGGTCTCTGATGGGGTCTCTAGACAATAGACTGACTGTCTATTGTCTCTAGACAATAGACTGACTGTCTATAAACAATAGACTGGCTGGTCTCTGATGGGGTCTCTAGACAATAGACTGACTGTCTATTGTCTCTAGACAATAGACTGACCGTCTATAAACAATAGACTGGCTGGTCTCTGATGGGGTCTCTAGACAATAGACTGACTGTCTATTGTCTCTAGACAATAGACTGACCGTCTATAGACAATAGACTGGCTGGTCTCTGATGGGGTCTCTAGACAATAGACTGACTGTCTATTGTCTCTAGACAATAGACTGGCTGGTATCTGATGGTGTCCCTAGACAATAGACTGACTGTCTATTGTCTCCAGACAATAGACTGGCTGGTATCTGATGGGGTCTCTAGACAATCGACTGACCGGTCTCTGATGGGGGTTTCCAGACGACTTACAGACTGACAGTGTACAACGTTTTTGATCGCCACGTAAATGCAACCGAGCAGTCAAGAATTTAGTCCTGGGACTCAGATAACCCCCGTTATTTCAGACATCTGCCTTTTTCAAAATCCACCCCGCCGACCACACACACAGTTGGCTAATTGCGGCTGAGTGGACCAACATTAATAAATTAAGAAAACATCTTCAGCGCCGCAAGGAAACAGCTTGCAATGCACGCATGCGTAGCCTGATACGAGGGTTGTGAGAGTGTTTGAGTTTGAGGGAGTGTGTATGTGTGCGTGCGTGTGTGTGCGTGTGTGTCTGTGTGTGTGTGTGTCTGTGTGTGTTGGGGGGGGGGGAGCGGCGGTGTAGCTGTTGGCGATTCTCGCTCACGGCTTACCAACACCCAGTGATGATTATCTGAAGCGGTCCTGGGCCTCCCTTAGGTCGACTCAGCCTCTAATGAGTACCTGGTGCGGTGTGTAAACATCGTCACTAGGGAGACAAAGACGGTCGGGCGTGGTGCTGGCCACCCACCCCCTGGTGTGCTGTGCCGGCCTTCATAGGTGCTCGCTAACAGCACTTGCCCCAACACTCTGTTCAAGCTGCACGGGGGATCTTTGTCTTTTTTGCGTGTGTGTACGCGCGTGTGTGTACGTGTGTGTACGTGTGTGTGTGTACGCCTGTGTGTAAGCGTGTGTGTGTACGTGTGTGTACACGCGTGTATGCGCGCGTGTGTGTGTACGCCTGTGTGTGTACGTGTGTGTGTATACGCCTGTGTGTGTGTGCGTGTGTGTGTATGCCTGTGTGTGCGTGTGTGTACCTGTGTGTACGCGTGTGTGTGTACCTGTGTGTGTGTGTGCGTGTGTGTGTACGCCTGTGTGTGTGCGTGCGTTTACAGGGTCCGTTAAGTGATCGCCACGATGGTGTGCCAGTTGATAATAATTTAGGCTGAATACTAGTTACCTTGCACCTGTTTGGTTGTGATATTTTTAATTTTACATTTTCTCCACCCCCCCCCCCCCCCCATTTGTCCAATTCATTCTATAAACGTCGGATTGTGTTTTTTGTGTTTTTTGTCCTTGAAAAACGGCCTGGAGTTTGAGACGCCTGAACGAACGTTCTCAAACCGGAATTTGTTGTTATTGTTGTTGTTTTTAAACAACCAAAAACATATTTTTCACGTGATTATTAACCGAGGTTTATCAGCCAATAGTAAAGTGGCAGCACCAACGCGATCACCGAAATTCTCCGCATCATGAGACGCAACGGAAAAGGGTGCCCAGTGCCAATAAAGTTACATAAATCACTCCGATACAAAGGCAAAGGTCCCCTGTGTAGCCTCTAACAGACTGTAGGGGCAAGTGCTGTTAGCGAGCACCTATGCAGGCCGGCACGGCGCACGAGGGGGTGGGTGGCCAGCACCACGCACGGCCGCCTTCCCCCCCCCCCCCTAGTAGCGATGTTTACACATCTTACCAGGCACCCATTTGAGGCTGAGTCGACCTAGGGAAGGTCCAGCACCGGTTCAGATAATCACGACTGGTATTGGCCGTGAGCGGGAAACGAACTCGGTTTGGTGAGTCGTAGCGCAGCGCGCTAACCACTGCGCCACCGCTCCCCATACGCACGCACACGGCTACCTGATTATAAAACGTACCGCGCAAACTTTGGCCTTTAAACACAGCGGGGGGGGGGGGGGGTGAAAGTGCGTCTTACAATCCGGAGAATTCGGTACACAGGTGATCGCTCTTGCATTGACAATTGTTTATCTCGCTGTTTTCACAACATCCCTTTTCACATCGTAAGTGTGTGCGTATCTAGTCCTCGGTATATATATCTATTATTTTGTTCGTGTGTTTTACCAGATCGACTTCTCAGACACCTTCGATGTCTTCGAAGTCGAGACACCCGCACAGCGCAACCAGCTCTCGATTACCTACCTGGGGGCAATCTGCAGGGTGGCGGGTTGCGAGTGGCCCGGATAAAAAAAACAACAACTCTCAATCGTATTTATTATACAGACAACGGCGGTGACGTCTCGGCCGATCCATTTGCTTTCTCAAAACGGCACCGGTTTCACTTTGCGGTCAGACGGGGGCGGTGGAGGGGGGGTGACGGAGAGCCCCGTGAATCCGCTAACCCCATGCGACAAGTCAGGAGGGGCTCGTCCCGTAATGGGCCCTGGGCATGCTTCAGCGAGGGCGCTAATAGAGAGTGGAGCCGTGGCTTCGGAGTGTCCCCCATCTCCTCGAGTGCTACCGGAGCTCACGAGCGTGTGCGCGAGCGAGCGAGTGAGTGTGCGTGCGTATTGGTGCTTGATTTTATAAAGTAGCGACGTCAGCGCGCACGTGTGTGAATTTAGCCTCTTTTACCGTTAGATGGTCGGCCGCGAGAAAGTCAAAATGCGTCGCGTTCTCAAACAAGATCCACTCGCTGGGCAACCCCAGTGGGAAACCATCATTCCACGGTCTCTCACGTAGAAGGACAACGATCGCTGTGATAATGATGATGATGATGCGATAAGAAAAAACATGCATGTGCGTCGGAGAGTTTATTGAGCAGAGCGATGCCAGCGGATGAGATCGAATTTGGTCAAACAAAAATCACGATACCAAGAAGCACAATGCACGTTGTGAACACGAGACGGTGGCGGTCCTTCATAAATGACTTTCACGACGCAGTTCCTTGAACGAACCGCGCGCGGCTCCCGTGCCGTAGGTTGCCGACCCCTACGTTGAACCATGGTAGGAGAGTTTAAATTGTAATGCTACATTATTCACTCTGGAAAGCCACACGTTCTCTGAGTCTTAAGCCGTTCTTGTTTTCAGATTCTGAATATCTATTTACACTGGAGGAATTCGATGAGCTATGAAGCTCTTTTTCACAGATGTTGCAGTCGGGGCGGGTAGGAACGTTACAACAACAAAGAGTACAAAAACACGAGAGTAGTGCAAAGTCCAAGAAAGGTAAACAAATCACCCAAACACAAACAATTACAACTAAACCATCCCCATCCTACCAGGCAAAGCCCACCGACGTATGAACTTATTTTTCAAAAGCGACCTGGCCACAAATGATAGCTCAACAAAGTGGCTTATCATTTGCACATTTATAGCAGTAAAATAATCGCAGGAGGGTCCTGCCCAGGGGATCTTGTGGCGTGATGTGGTGGTTGGTTCCTAGTGGCCACTGAACTCATCCTGCCTCTGCTGATGCTAGGATGACCCAACGACACCTCTGCCCGGGTTGTGGAGCTAATAGTCACTACCCAGAGACTCATCTGCCTCGGAGACGCCATTGTTACGTAGGTTCACATCGCTCCAACCTCTGCATTGGGATGCATGCTGAGGATGCTAGAAATAAAATTGCGGGATAGGGTAAGCGACTTGGAATTTGGAAAGAGGATTTGGCAGGAAACCTGTAGATGTAGTCAGGCAGAGGAGGTGGTGACGGGTGGGATACGTGGCAGGATGAAGGAGGGCCGGTTACTGAGACAGATGGAGTGACATCCAGAGGGGAAGATCTGAAACCACGTGGCGGTGATGAGACTGTGAGAGCAGATGTTGGAGATCGAGCATAAGGAAAGAAGTGATGGTAAGGTGAGGTATCATCAGCGCTATTGGCCGCTCCGCTATGGTGTGATTTACACTCCTGCAGACTGCCTTCGCCTTTGATGGTTGTACTGCACTGCAACTATGGGTCTCATCCCAAGACCAGAAGTCCCCCTTGGCCACCAACTTCAGACAAACTCGACTCATCGTGTCGTCGTCCTCCCACGATAAGTGCCGATTTGGAATTATGGAGATTGCAGGAGAGCGTGGCTGTTGTAAAGACAGGTGAGCCCCAACTCCAGTCGTTGTCTTTTAATCGAACAACATGGCCAGATGCGTAGGAGTTGCTCACTTCCAGAAAGAAAAAAAATAACAAATAAGGATTAAAAATATACTTTTTGGGTGTAGAAGGTATGGGTATTAAGTAATCTAGAGCTATGAACCCTCCACCACCTGACACAGCTAAACAAATCAAGTTGTCGAATGTGCCGATTGGTTTAAATTTTCCGCAAAAAAGTAACCAAAATCAGACAATTTTGTTTACGCATGAAAACTTACTCCGTAGGATCGATCGTTATCTTTTAAAACACTTAAACACGACTTTCGATAAAGTCCCTTTTAAAAATGCATATATATAAGAATGTGTGGTGTCTCCTTGGAACTCAATGAAACGGATCTGGCACGTGCTTGGCATAGGCCTACACGAGGCTTCGATCGCATATCCGCCGGAGCCATTGAGAGATTTGCGCTGAGTAACGTACACGCAAGAGGAATTCATATTCTTTGGGTCTTTCGGTAAAGCTACGTAGATCGAAAAAATATTTAAAATATCACGACATTTCGATCGCAACACAAGCAATCTTCATCAGGTGAAAAAAAAGGTTTATAACATCCGGCCTCAGCAGCTCTCTCGCTATTTTTTCACCTGATGACGATTGCTTGTGTTGCGATCGAAACGTCGTGATATTTTTATTAATTTTCTTCTATCTACGTGGCTTTAACGAAATACCCAAATAATATGTTGTACACACAGCTCATTCGCTGGCTGAAGTTCGACCGCTAATGTGAAAAAATGTGACCTTGGACTTTCATATTCACGTCAAATGTCTTTGTGCCTATGATACAGATGTGACAACGCCGCTATAGCCTGTAGATTATTCTGACCTAGACAGTGGTTTGTGTGCGTCCATTTCCGTCTGTGGTTGTGTACAGGAGGGCGATAGACCTGTACGGCATTCAAAGTTGTTTGGTGCCATTATTCTGCATTGAGGTTCGTGGCATTAATAAACACCTGTATAGACAATAGTTTTAGACTACTGTGTTTGTAATGTTCCCAGCTACAGTCGACATCGTCAGCCATTATCTATCCACTGCTGGATGATAGCCCTCTTTACGCTGTTGCCATCTCTTGTGCCCTTGCGATGCAACGATCCATTCTCCCCTTTTGCCTGCCATTCTTTGAACATCTCAGCCATCCGCCATCGTCCCTTTCAGTAATGTGTTCTACCCAAGCGCCAACAAGTCAATATGACGTTTGATCTGCAGTTGTTCTCTGGTCTATGTGCGGTTCCTCTTTTTCTCTCTGTCCATGCTTATTTGCGCACTTTTCAGATGTTCCATTTTCTTGATCGGTGACCATGTTTCTGAGCCATGCTGTACGTTGTTTATATCATCATGAAAAGCGACACCGTCATGCCTGAATATGAGTTTTCAATCGGTGCGCATTACCTGCAATGACGCATGGTGCACAAATATTGACACCACGCCGCAGTATTTAGCGTAAGTTACAGTTGTCTTCATGCCACGTGAGACTGACAGATTTCGTGAAAATGTACCCAACAAAATCGTATAATCTGCCGACTAATTTCTCTCCTGGGTGGCGATATGAAGAATGTTTATATTTTCGTTCGAGAGTAACTTTTGCTTCTGCTTATAAAAAAAAATGAAAACGTGGGACTGCTATGTTTACAATTACTCACGGATATGTTTAACTCCACTGTGCATACATCGGAGTTAAAACCGTTCTTGGTTCTGCCGCTGCCGGTGTCATCAGGAAGTGTCCCATTCACCATCCTTGCAATACCTCTCCCCCAGTGTTCTTCAGTAATTTTCAGAGGTGGTGGGAGGCAGCATTTTCGCCGATAAGACATCATCGGTGTGAGGGCCGCCACACATTTGAAACTATTGGGTTTGGACAGCACGATGGGGATGTTTTCACATTTGTGTTATTGTCGGGGGGGCCGCACTACAGGCCACAAAGGCCCACACAGTGGCCCACGGGCCTTGCAATGGAGAACATTGCTATATGAGATGTTTTGACACGACGGCTATCCCACGCATTCTGCCACGCGTTTTTGCCACCGGACGTGACGTTTTGCTCGAAAGGCTCGTCTTTGCTTCCGCCATTTTTTTTCGCGACCGCTGCAGCGCAGCCGCCTCCTCGTGGCTGCCAATGGAATTGCCACGTGGCCACCAAACTTCGTCGACTAATTGAGTAGCGAACGAGAGAGAAAGGCAAGCGTGAACGCTTCCAACGCACGCGTTTCGGCAACGACAGACTTTGACGAAGGGCTTTGTAACCTGCCTCGCGTTAACCATTCAATGGATCGTATCAATAGCCACCCTGTAATTGTGTCTGCGTGTTACCCTTCACGTTACGATTAGCTCCTGTGTAGTGACCGCCTCTTGAGACTATGATGCCACCTACGAGTCTGAATGTGTCGGACCCTCCCTCCCCATCACCAAAACTTTCCCATTAAACATAAGCAGCTGTAAAACTATCTCGTGGTGAAGTGGACTTTATTTTCACACTCTTCTCACAAGCCTGTATTTGGAGCGCTAAAATTAATACGATATTTTCGTAATGTAATACAATGTCAAGGTAATATATATTGTGAGGTTTTTTTTAAATATTCTCTCGGATTTCAAGTATATCTGGCTAAAGGACACTAACAGGAGCACTTTTATTTCCATGTTATATTGGGGGTAACAATTATATACAGGAGTTTTAATTGGGGATCTATGAACGGAAAGTTGAAAACACCCCCGTGAATCGTGGTATAGTCCAAAGTGAATCTAGTTATGCAGGAGGTCAGTCACATTGCATGCTTTCATACATCATCAAACGGCAAAAACATTTGATGTTACATTTCGCATGTAAATTTCACGCATCACATATATTAGTGTCATTGAACCCCACCTAACCCTTCGTGGTAGAGACCAGCCCACAGAAGCGGACATCACAGAGTTGTATGTATGCATGCTGAACTTTTTTCGCACCGTACGTAGCCAACCGTGCTAATCGGAGATGCGGGAGCAAGGACAACAAACGACAAAAAGCAATGATGAAGAAATTCGTTTTCATGATCTAGATGATGTAAACGTGCATAGCTCCAGTGGCTTCCTAATATCGGTAGGAAGAGCGTTCCAGACGGCCGCAGACGCACATCTTAAAGCTCACGACACATTGGCCGTCTTTGTTCGATGGCCAGCCAAAATCAGCTGCGAAGATGACTGGAACGACCTCGTCCAATGACCTTTCGATTGTCCAGACACGGGAAGTGGGGCAGCACTTCCCCATCCCGCCCTGCCTCTTTGAGCAACATATGTGTCACATGACGGTCGAACTGAAACGTTTAAATTCAAATGTTATTCTTACAGGTGGAAGTATTCAAATTAGATCTTGCCTGAAAGCTTTCGTGGCTGCAGGGATTCATATTTGTAGTTTCTTTGAACCTATCTACGTGCCTTTACCGAAAGACCCAAATAATAGCATTCAAATTAGGTGCAGGAGGACTATATTTAACCCCCCCTCCACTCCCCACCTCGAGCTATTGTTGCTGAGCCTCGATGTCCCCCCACGCGTTACACCACGCGGCGTGGTTTGATGTCCCCCACGTTCAGAGTGAACCACGTGACTCCGCGCGCGCGACTCTCTGTGTTGCATTGACGTCACAAAGCCCCGGGGGCATTTCCAAAGGAGCCCCACGTCACTTCTCGTCGTCACCAGCCCGAACCCTACATCCCACTGACGTTACCGTGAGCACTCTAATTAATGCATGTACGCACGCAAATAGGTAAAGCCCACTGAGCAACGTTGTTCTTCATAATCAACGTTTTTGGGTTTAGATCGCGTTATTTATAAATGTGTCGTAACACTCCACCACCCGACACGGCCAATCAGTAAAAAAAGTGTCACGTTGACAAAAGACAAATAGTTCACTGCTTTAGCCCACCGGTGTGTTGAAGCGTGAAACCACAACATTTACAATTTTTGAGTAGCACGACGTTTCGCTGGTAATTGCATCCAGCATCATCCGGGCAATTCGCCAGAAGCGACCTGGCCACAAACGATAGCCCGATGAAGTGGCTTATCACGTGGGCATTTATAGCAGCAATCTTGATTTGAAGCTTTCGTGACTGCAGGAATCCATACTGTGAGTATGAAAGAAGCAACGAGTATTTATGTCCGCAGCCAAACACTCTAAACGCGTGGTGGTGTTGATTGTAAATGTGGAGGGAAAAACCGGAGGACCCGGAGAATACTTCACGCGACCACTACACCGATGCAACACTCACACTCTAAATATACAGCAGCAGGCGGTACGGTTGAGATCGAACCCACGACCTCCTGTATACCAGGCGAGGTAGTTAACATCTCGCCACCGCGGCGGCCCCAAATTAAATGTCATGCAAGTGTTGCTGGATACCGTCTACACAACGAATGTGTCTGTAACTACCGATTGTGCGGTCATTTTTGACGGTCGCTTTGCCTTTTGAACGTAGGCTTTCGCGACCAATATCATCCATAATACAGGGTTTTATTTGGGTTAGATCGCGTAAATATATAAATGTGTGGTTAAACCCGCCACCACCAATTTGGCTGTCGCCTGATGAATCTAGTTGTAGTTGCTGGCGAAACGTCGTACTCAGATTGTAAATGTTGTGGTTTGGCTCTCCAACACACCGGTGTGCTGTACTAGTGACGAATTGGCCACGTTCTGTTTACGTGACAAACCCTTACTAGTTGGCTGTGCCGGGTGGTGGCGGGTTTAACGACACATTCATATTTATTTACGCGATCTAATCCACAAAACCTGTCTCATGGTTGCCTTTTGGAGTTTGATGGGGAACGATAATATAATTGTGATCAAACACAAGCCTCCGAGATTGCCGCCCCTCCCACACACAAATACAAAGCTCCCCCTTATAGCCTTAACAGACTGTAGGGGCAAGTGCTGTTAGCGAGCACCACCGATGAAGACCGGAACGGTACACGAGGGGGTGGGTGGCCAGCACCACGCCCGGCCGCCTTTGTCTCCCTAGTGGTGATGTTTACACACCGCACCAGGTACTAATTTGAGGCTGAGTCGACCTAGGGGAGATAATCGTCACTGCTGTTCAGGGTAAACGGAAATCGAACCCGGGTCGCCGGGTTCCTAGCGCGGTGCGCTAACCGCTACACTACAGCGCCCCACACACACATCCAATATAACCGGTATTTGCCATACCGTATATCCCATTGATGACATTTTAGAGTCCTGCCAATTGTTCGCAGTAAGGGATGATGCAACACTCATCTTCACACACACACAACAGATTCCGTCCCTCCCTTAAAACAACCCCCATCTCTTCTCCCGAGCCCATCATGCTGCCCCCGCTCCCCAGGTACCCCACTACCCTTATCACTACCCCTATCACTACCCCTATCACTACCTCAGTCACTACCCCTATCACTACCCCTATCAGTACCCAACCCCTATCACTCCCCCTATCACTACCTCAGTCACTACCCCTATCACTACCCCTATCACTACCCCTATCACTACCCCTATCACTACCCCTATCACTACCCCTATCAGTACCCCTATCACTACCCCTATCACTACCCCTATCACTACCCTTATCACTACCCCTATCACTACCCCTATCACTACCCCTATCACTACCCCTATCAGTACCCCTATCACTACCCCTATCACTACCCCTATCACTACCCCTATCACTACCCCTATCACTACCCCTATCACTACCCCTATCACTACCCCTATCACTACCCCTATCACTACCCCTATCAGTACCCAACCCCTATCACTCCCCCTATCACTACCTCAGTCACTACCCCTATCACTACCCCTATCACTACCCCTATCAGTACCCAACCCCTATCACTCCCCCTATCACTACCTCAGTCACTACCCCTATCACTACCCCTATCACTACCCCTATCAGTACCCAACCCCTAATCACCTCCCCCTATCACTACCTCAGTCACTACCCCTATCACTACCCCTATCACTACCCCTATCAGTACCCAACCCTATCACTCCCCCTATCACTACCTCAGTCACTACCCCTATCACTACCCCTATCACTACCCCTATCAGTACCCAACCCCTATCACTCCCCATCACTACCTCAGCACTACCCCTATCATACCATCACTACCCCTATCACGTACCCCTATCACTACCCCTATCACTACCCCTATCACTACCCCTATCACTACCCCTATCACTACCCCTATCACACCCTATCAGTACCCATATCATACCCTATCCACTACCCCTACACTACCCCTATCACTACCCTATCACATACCCTATCACTACCCTATCTACCTATCAATCCCTATCCACTACCCCGATCCACTACCCCTATCCACTACCCCTATCACTACCCACTAGTCACTACCCCTATCAATACCCCTATCACTACCCCCTATCAACTACCCCTATCATACCCAACCCCTATCACTACCCCTATAACTACCCTCAGCACTACCCCTATCAACTACCCCTATCACTACCCCTATCAGTACCCAACCCCTATCACGTCCCCCTATCACTACCTCAGTCAACTACACCTATCACTACCCCTATCACTACCCCTATCAGTACCCAACCCCTATCACTCCCCCTATCACTACCTCAGTCACTACCCCTATCACTACCCCTCATCACTACCCTATCAGTACCCAACCCCTATCACTCCCCCTATCACTACCTCAGTCACTACCCTATCACTAACCCTATCACTACCCCTATCAGTACCCAACCCCTATCACTCCCCCTATCACTACCTCAGTCACTACCCCTATCACTACCCCTATCACTACCCCTATCAGTACCCAACCCCTATCACTCCCCCTATCACTACCTCAGTCACTACCCCTATCACTACCCCTATCACTACCCAACCCCTATCACTCCCCCTATCACTACCTCAGTCACTACCCCTATCACTACCCCTATCACTACCCCTATCAGTACCCAGCCCCTATCACTCCCCCTATCACTACCTCAGTCACTACCCCTATCACTACCCCTATCACTACCCCTATCAGTACCCAACCCCTATCACTACCCCTATCACTACCCCAGTCACTACCCCAGTCACTACCCCTATCAGTACCCCTATCACTACCCCAGTCACTACCCCTATCAGTACCCCTATCACTCCCCCTATCACTACCCCTATCAGTACCCCTACCACTACCCCAACCCCTATCACTACCTCTATCACTACCCCTATCACTACCCCAACCCATATCACTCCCCCTATCACTACCCCTATCACTACCCCTATCACTTCCCCTATCACTACCCCTATCACTACCCCAACCCCTATCACTACCCCTATCACTACCCCAACCCTATCACTACCCCTATCACTACTTCAACCCCTATCACTACCCCTATCAGTACCCCTATCACTACCCCTATCACTACCCCTATCACTACCCCTATCACTACCCCTATCAATACCCTTATCACTACCC